TAAGAAACCAAAGAGTGGAATTCCAAAGATGGCGTATAAAATACAAAAGATTTTGCCTCCTTCAGTGCTTGGAGCAATATTCCCATACCCTGGTGAGAAACATTAAAAAGAGAGAGGGAAAGTGGTGAGGTGACAGAGAAATTAGAGTACAGAACCAAAGTCTCCACAGACAGTTTCAAACGCTTCCGTATCCACCCCCACTGGATGAGCTTTAGGGAGTAGAACTTCGTTTCAAAGGCCCTATAAAACTCAGAACACTGTTCCATTGCTTTCTTCCTCCTCTACTTGTAAACAGCCTAATGTATTCAGTTAGATTACATTTTAGGAAATTTGTGCTCACCCGGAGTTGTGTTTCTGATGGAGGATGGCACCATCCACTTCAGAAACACCAAACATCCTGGCCCTGTCTGATTTAGGAACACCTGCACACCTGAGAAGGTCATTTTTAGATATGAAAAGAGCTCCTCCTGTATAGTCTCATTCCATGGGCATCATCTCCACCAGGCTGTGGCTGTCATCAGCATTTGCCTTCTGAGGGTCATCAGTGTGCCACAGGAAGGAAAATATGTGGCCAAATCCAGAAAGGACCCATGGGTCATACAGCCCTCCCCTAGAAAGCCTGGAAACAGTAAGGAGTGGGGGAAGGAAGACTGTGTCTCTCTCCACACTGACAGTGATATTCAGGTCCTCCTGGCTCTTCATCTCTGTGCTGGGGGCCCTGCCTCATCTCGGAGTCCAGCCTCTCCACCCACTCACCTCTTGCATTGAGGTTTACCAAGTGCTCAATAAATGTGTGTTGGTGCAATGGATGTTTCAATACAGAAGAATCCTTTTATCGCCAGACCTGCTAGTGTGCTTGTCAAAGAGTGCTTTGAAAACACCAACATGTGCATCCTTGAGAGTTCTGCAATTACGTAAGTAGCTTACGTATAGCAAGTGTTGGGTTTACGCTACATGGATGGGGCTAAAGGCAGCAGTGCTGGAAGAAAAAAGCTTATGGCATTAACACAATTCATGTAGAGATGAGAGTCTAAATTACTGGCTATTCATTTTTATGCCAATGAGCATTGCGATATTATGCTACCTAGTGTAGAGATTGTCTCCTAATTAGTCTCCCATGTTAGGGTAACTTGTGTGGGGCCTGCTTCTAAACCCATGCAATGGGTGAGTTATTGGGTTCATAGTCACCAGTAAATGTTAGGGATACAACACAGTAAAGAACGGTGTTGATGGTTGGTCCGCCATTCCTCCTATGGGCCCAGAGAACTCACTGTTGCCTCCTGCCCTTGGGTAATGAGTCACATAGCTATTTTCCTTTTCAATTTTCTACTCAGAATCATCCAAACCTCTTATCACAAATTATCGAAATTACAGTTTCCATTTCTTAAATGAGCATTCAAGCAAGCTTTCCTAATCTTGCATTTCTTTTACCCACCACCGTTTTGATTTAACGATGCAAAAAAAAAAGCTCTTGGAACTTTTTTCAGGGGCTTTCAGGAACGTGGACAAAATTACTCTTTTTAAGCATTCCCCTCTACAATAATCTGACTTACANCTCAAAAATGTCTCAGTCTAATCCCCAGAGCCTGCAATGGAATGAGTTATCACTCCTGTAACTATGTTGTTACGTGCCACAGCTGACCATAAGAAAGGGAAATTATCCGAGTGGGCCTGATTGAATCATGTGAGCCCTCAAAAGCAGAGTGCTCCCTCTGCCTGGTGGCAGAGGAGCAGAGGGAAAATCAGAGAGCTACAAGAAGGATTCCATGCTGGCTTTGAAGACGGAAGGGCCACAAGCTATGGAATACAGGCAACCTCAGCAAGCTGGGAATGGCCCCCACCTGACAGCCAGCAAGGAAACAGAAACCTCAGTCCTACAACCACAGGGAATTATTCTGTGCCGAAACTTCAATGAGTTTGGAAGTGGACTCTTCCCCAAATCCAGGGCCCAGCGTGGCTGACACCTTGATTTCAGACACATGAAGTCCTAGGCATGGCACCCACCAAGCCTGCCTGGACTTCTGACCTCCAGAACTGTAACATAGTAAGTGGGTGTTGTTTTAAGCTGGGCATTTGTGATGATTTGTTACACAGCAATAGAAAACTAATGCAGCAGGGAAGCTGCGATTCAGGGTGAAGCGATTACTAATTCCTTTTGGCATCAGAGCTAAAGCTACATTCTTTAATGAGCTTATCAGCAATAAACTTGACATTTTAGTCTCCATATGACTCCTATGTCTATTTCTCAATTAGTTCTGAGTTTCAGAGGGGAAAAAATCGTTTTCTTTTATTCACTCGGTAAGAACCCCAACAGTCACGCATTTTGTTACTCTGTAGCCAGAAGCATTCCAGAATAACACAGTAACCTCTGCCATTCTTTGAAATGAGGCTCAGATGTGGTAGAAGGACCCAAATCATGTCACCTCAGAAGACAGGTACCTAGAAAGGCTGATTTTATATTTTATCTTTACTCCACAAAAAATAGCCTCGCTTCCCCAAGAACTGAGAAAAAAAAACACAACAGATGAAGGGAAAGGCTTAGCAATCACTGAGGAGGTGGGAAAAATGATCTTCCCCACAGAAACTAAAAATTCACAGCCCAAGTTTTATATAATTTTCATTTACATAATTTTCAATTCTCAAATAATCACCTCAGAGTAACTGGCCTTTTAGATGTAGTTTAAACGAATGGCAAAGAGTTTGGAGATTTTCTACCAAAACGGTGTACAAACCAACTGTTGCAGAGTTCCTTGTTTGTATATCCAGGAAGTGTGCTTCTATCCCTGCCGGAACTCAGGCACCCTCCCAACAGGGTTCCACAGATGCCTACATCCTGTGCTGCCTGATGCTGTACGGCGGGTTCCTTCCACAAAGACCCCCCAGTCCTTGATGGCGCTGCCAGGAAACTGAGTGGGACATCGGCACAAAAACGAAATGCGAGATTGGTAAGGTTCTGGCCCAGAGTCCTTTGAATGATCCATTGAGAGGCAGCTTTAAAGGCAAGGAGAACAACACTCTACTTGACATCTAAAATTCATTAGGGGACATTAAGTCCTCAAATTGGGTAGCAGATGTAATCCAATGATTGCAACTTCTTCCCTCACTGAGAATACAGTAACTCAATTTTTTCTTTTTTTCTTTTTCTTTTTTTTTTAGGCTAAAGAGGAATTTCAAAAGCTGTTAGTCCAGTCCTTTCTTTCTACTAATAAAGACACTGTGATCTAGAGAAGCTACCTACATATAAAAATGCCTGGTCAGTCATTTCTCCATTTGAATCCTGGTTTTTTAGTGTTTGATCTGCCAGATTCAGTGAGCTCTAACTCAGAAGGCCCTGAGGCCATGGCTGAAAGGGCACCTCCGACAACAGCCCTTGGAGACAGGGTTGTGGTATCTGATTTAGGGAGACCTGACCATCTGAGAAGCAGAGAAGCTGAGCTCTGGCGGTTTCCATGGGGGCCACGGAGCCCAGGTGCATGCTCTAATGAGACTGACTGGCCAGCCAGCACTTAGGGAGCAAAAGTTGTGGGACATTCCAGAAAAGCCCACGCACCACTGCCGAGCTGCTCAGATGAAATCTGAATGGGCGGCTAGCCTGCCAAGAAACACTTCTTTCAGGAGACACACACAGAGCAGCCCTGAACTCCACGTGTCTAATCCTATGCCAAGCTCTTTTCCATACATGGTTTCATTTCATCATTACCAAAACATTATAAAGTAGATTAGAATTCTATCTCCTTTTGCCAATGAGTAGACTGAGGCAGCCCACCCAGGACCACTGAGCTGATACAAGGTGGAGCTAAGCCAGCAGAGTGTCTTATTCCTCCTTCCTGTTCTCACAAACTAAAACTGCTCTAGCAAACTGAACTGGGGAGCGCCCTTGCATTCTTCCAAAAAAAAAAAATTTGTCACAAGTTCTTGTCTCAGAGGGAAAAACAAGTTCAGGTTTAGAGCTTCCCAGTGATATATCTTTGCCCATGATTGCTAGAGTCTGAAAAAAAGATCTCAAATTGTCATTTTTAAATATTAAGTCATCATGAGAAAAATTCCCTTAAAAAGGTTTGAAAGACTTGAGAATTAGGTCAATAATGAGAGAGTAGAAATGACCTTATATCTACCAAAACACGTGTTCTGTTCCTTCATATGGATGGGTGTGAGTTAAAGGGCACTGGGAACCCCAGTCCAATCACATCTACTCTACATGCCTGTCACCGATGCCAGAAATGCCATCTTTAGTAAATAAATCCCTTGAATTGAGATTTTGGTCCCTTGTTTAAAGGTAAGTATTCTCAAAAGGGAA